AGATTAGTCCAAAGGACTAATGGACCACAGCTACCAAGGCCTCCACCAGACTGAATCCAGTACAGCTAGATGGTGCCCGGCTACCACCACTGATTGCTCTGACCAGGATCACAACAGAGGGTTCTGGACAGAGCTGGAGAAGGATGTAGAACAAAATTCTAACACACACACGAAAGACTGGATTTGCTGGCCTGAAAGAGACTGAAGAAACTTCGAGAGTATGGCCCCCAGACACCCTTTTAGCTCAGTGGTGAAGTCACTTCTGAGGTTCACCATTCAGCCAGGGATTGGACAGCCCCATAAAACAAAACGGGACTAATGAGGCACAGCAGTCCAGGGACAAGGACTAGAAGGCAGAAGGGGACAGGAAAGCTGGTGACAGGGAACCCAAGGTTGAGTAAGGACAGTGTTGACGTGTAGTGGGGTTGTTAATCATTGTCATAGGGCAACATGTGTACTAACTGCTTAATGAGAAAAACTATTTTGTTCTGTAAACCTTCATCTAAAGTGAGAATAGCAGCAGAACTAGAAGAGCGTATTCGATGTCACTGAACTGTGCATGTAGAAATTTTTGAAAAGGTGTATCTTTGGCTATGTATATTTTCACCAAAAAAAAAAAAGGTCGAGAAGGGAGAGGGTTGACATGTCGTGGGGTTGTTAACCAATGTCATAAAACAATATGTGTACTACTGTTTAGTGAGAAACTATTTGTTCTGTAAACCTTCACCTGAAGTACAATTAAAAAAAAAAAAAAATTCTAACTCACCAAAAAAGAAAGACCAGACTTACTGGTCTGACAGAGACTGGAGAAACTCAGAGAGCATAGCCTCCGGACAACCTTTTGACTCAGTACTGAAGTCACTCTTGAGGGTCACCCTTTAGCCAAAGATTAGACAGGCTCATAAAAGAAAACAAGACTAAATGGGCACACCAGCCCAAGGACAAGGACGAGAAGGCAGGAGGAGACAGGAAAGCTGGTAATTGGGAAGCCAAGGTGGAGAAGGGGAGAGTGTTGACATGTTATGGGGCTGGAAACCAATGTCACAAAACAATGCGTGTATTGTTCAATCAGAAACTAGTTTACTCTGTAAACATTCATCTTAAGTACAATTTAAAAAAAAATTAAAAAAAAAGTGTGAAGATCTGATCCTGCTTTGATGGACATAAGCTAGAGCAAGAACACTGTAAGATCTAACCCCTGGATATAAACAGGGCTGCTGCAGCTGACATTACACTTTCGGATGGCACTCTTGTGGCTCAATCCAAAGAGATGTCTCTCCAGGAAGGGACAGATGAGAATCAGAGATGTCTATGGTCCTGGATAAACCACTAACAACATATCCAGTGTAAGTCATGTGCACCTATCCGTTGCCATCAAGTCGATTCCGACTCATGGCGACCCTGAAGGACAGAGTAAAACTGCCCCAGAGAGTTTCCAAGGCTGTAATCTTTACAGAAGCAGACTGCCACATCTCTCCTCTGTGGGGCAGCTGGTAGGTTTGAACCACTGACCTTTCGGTTAGCAGCCAAAGGCTCAACCACTGTGCCACCAGGGCTCCTTCATGTGTACCTAGAGGGGAAGAAAGCCTGAACTGGGAATCTCCACCCTGTGCTAAGTTGGGGGGGGGGTAGGGGGGAGGAGGCAAGGGAACAGAGGCTAAGCCATTTCCATCTTTACTCCTTTTTTCCCTACACCACCATTACTTCTTTTTCTTTCTTAAAGTGCTTGGTGTAAAAATGTGTTTAATATGGTAAACTATGCAGGTAGGCTAGAAAGAACTGAAAGGGAAACTCAGAAGCAATTTTGCAACATCAATATTGTTTTCTGCTAATTAAATATAAATTAGAAAACTACAAAAATTAGACATGGAGTTATAAGATATAGCTACCTATTAACAAAAATACTAGTATATCATACTATCAATCTCCACAACATAACATTTGTACCAACTTCTAATGTTCTAAATAAGGGGAATATTGTTAAAAGAATGGGAAGTACTTTTAAAGATTTCAAAGCATAACTGTTTAAAACTGTTTTTATAGCCAAGCGTGCCTACCTAAAGAGACCCTTTACTGACCAAAATTACAAGATCTATGTTGTTGTCGTTAGGTGCCGTTGAGTTGGTTCCGACTTATAGCAACCCTACATACAACAGAACGAAACACTGCCTGGTCCTGCGCCACCCTCACAATCGTTGTTACGCTTGAGCCCATTGTTGCAGCCACTGTGTCAATCCATCTTGTTGAGGGTCTTCCTCTCTTTCAATGACTCTCTACCAAGCATTATGCCCTTCTCCAGGGACTGATCCCTCCTGATAACATGTCCAAAGATGAAGTCTTGCCATTCTTGTTTCTAAGGAGCATTCTGGTTGTACTTCTTCCAAGACAGATTTGTTTGTTCTTTTGGCAGTCCATTCAATATATATTTGGCAGTATATTCACTGTTCTTTGCCAACCACAATTCAAAGTCGTCAATTCTTCGGTCTTCCTCACTCATCGTCCAGCCTTCCCCTGCATATGAGGTGATTGAAAACACCATGGCTTGGGTCAGGTGCACCTTAGTCTTCGAGGTGACATCTTTGCTTTTCAATGCTTTAAAGAGGTCTTTTGCAGATTTGCCCAATGCAATACGTCTTTTGATTTCTTGACCAGCCGGAAAATGGAGGAGTTATACTTCTAAGTGCAGTTGCCATTTTCTGAGATAGCTGGTGTGCTGGGCCTACCCTCTACACTAGGACATTTGCCAATGTCTGTAGACATTTTTGGCTGTCTCAACTTGGGGGGAAGGTGCTACTGGCATCTAGTGGGCAAAGGTCAGGATGCTGCTAACATCACATGATGCACAGAACAGTCCCCCAGAACAAAGATCTGGCCCAAAATGTTAAGTGTGCCGAAGTTGAGAACCCCTGCTCTATACCATCAAAACCTCTTTCTACATATTTGCAGAAACTGAATTTCTGGAAAACTGGTAAAATGAAGAGAGGAGGGAGGGACTAATGGTAGTATAGGCGTAGGTGCAGAGATTGCATCACGGTCTAGTGAGCATTATGAGATGAAAACTAGTAGGAATTAAGCCTGAGTTGTACAAAATCAGCCTGCCTTCCAGCTATACGTGTGAGATGGAAATTCAACTATCATCCAAATTAGTGATAAATGAGCCAAGGGCAATTCCCATAGTGTTCAGATAGCTTGCATAAGTGTATGTAAAAGATACATTCTCAAATATGCCAAGGTTCAAAAGACATATCATCGTGTACACTTTTCGGAAAAAAAAAATTACTTGAGCCCTAGCTCCAGCTGGCCAAGACAGGACTCAAAATTAAGAAATAAAAAATGGAGGAGGTTTGGGGAGCAAAACTTAGTAACTCAGTTTAAAAATGTGTTGTCAGTTGGATAGGACAGCCCAGAAATAAAGCATGGCTCTGTAATACTTCCTTCAACTATTCCTAACCCAGTGTAAGAAAACTGTTGGGAGTCACATCTGCTTCACAATTTGGACGAACACTTAAAAGAACAAATGCTGGTGCAATCATTACATATTTGGGACAAAGCTTGGAGAATTACTAAACAAGTTTGTTTGTTTGTTGGGTTTTTATTTTTCTCCCTAACATGAAAGAAAAGTTTCAGAGAGGTTGTAGTCATTTTTTATTGCCAAGTAATTCAAGTAGGTAATTTTCTGCATCTTTAAAATGAATACTGAGTGACTATGGTCACTGTGATTTTTTTAAATTGGTAAAGATGAATATTTCGTTGATACTAATTATAAACAAGCTCTTGTCATTTTTTCCATCTAGGATGTATAAATATTCATTAGTTAATAATGCTTAAAAATCAGTATGGGCTCAAATGGGTTAAAATGTATTTATATAAACACACAAATAACCTAAGCATAGAAAAAAGATGGAAGCAGTATGTTAACAATGATTATATCTGGGTAGTAGATCTCTAGGGGCTTTTTTGTTTTCTTCTGTATACTGTACTTCTCTGTACTTTCCAAAGTTTCTATAAGAAGAATGTATTTTTTTAATAAAAATTTTTAATCCACATATACAATATTATATATACCCATAACTAGTGTATAAAAAATGCACAGGGAAAAGATTAGCAGGAAATGAACTGAGGTAGTCTTTCATTCATTCGTTCATCCAACAGATACTTATTAAGTATCTACTATACCAGAAGCCCTGGTGGCGCAGTGGTTAAGTGCTTGGCTGCTAACTGAAAGGTTAGTGGTTGAACTCACCAGCTGCTCTGTGGGAGAAAGATGTGTCAGTCTCCTTCCATAAAGATTACAGCTTTGGAAACCCTATGGGACAGTTCTACTCTGTCCTATAGGGTTGCTATGAGTCAGAATTGACTCGACAGCAACGGGTTTTTTTTTTTTTTACATACCAGGTATTGTGCTGGGCATTGGCCATTGAAGGGTATTGAACACGGTTCTTCCACGCACAGACTTTGGGTGTTTTTCTTCCTCCTTCTCTTTTTACTTCTTAAAAGTTTTGTTAATACGTTTTTACTTTTAAAATAGGGGAGCATTATATTTATTTTTAAAATATAGAGTTATAGTTCAGAAAGGAATAGGTTGGTATAACTGACTGTGAAGATGCATTCTAATAGATAAGCTTTTGAGATATTCACATATTTTGAAGTAATGTTGGTATTCACCATGAAGGCTTCAACCTGTCCCTCGTAAAATTCATTTTTTTAGCAAACAGAAGATATGACTCTAAGAAAAAAATTATTTTTATTAGTTAAGATTTTATATTCACTTCAACATCTACCTGTCTTACTATAAATATTTGTACTGTTTTGAATAGGAAAACTTTTTGGATAAGTTTATTTAATATGTTTTTTAAATATCATAGAGATCAAGTTTTTTTTTCCCCATAGCAAGAGTTTTGCAGTAATAAAAATATAAAAAATATAGGTTGCAAAATGAATTTGAATTTACATAAATATACATTATCTATACAATGTCTTTTTGTGAAAGAGATTTACTTTGAGATTTCTCTTTTTCACTCTTTTTTTTCTGTTTTTCTTCTGCTTGTTTTTCTAAATACTCTTTAAGGAGATGGTTCAGCTGTGGTTCGCATTGGCTTGCATGTTGCAATCCATCTTCTCGTCCTGAAAAAGATACAAAATATGAGATACCTGTTACCCATTGCCATTGAGTCAATTTCAACTCATAGTGACCTTAAAAGATAGAGCAGAACTGCCCCGTAGGGTTTCCACGGAGTGGCTGGTGGATTCAAGCTGCCAACATTTTGGTTAGCAGCCTGAGCTCTTAACCACTGTGCCACCAGGGCTCCAAGTAAGAGATAATGGTCCCATATTATTATTATTTCAAACATCTCCCACAATGGCAAATTTAGTGCTGTTCCTGTTCAAACCTCCCCAAGCATTAACCCTAAAAAGTCAGTTTTAATTCAAAATGCTTAAATTAAAAACATTTTCATTTTACCTTCACAGTGTTGGATCACACGTCCCCATAGTCGATTTTTTCTCAAACAGGCTAAATTTCCGACGATCAATAAATGCCTCCTTCCTCTGGTCAATGCAACATTCATTCTTTTTTCTGAATCAATGAATCCTACTTGTCTTGTCCTTACACAGGACAGAATAATGATCTCCTTTTCAGCTCCTTGAAAAGCATCCACTGTGGACACCTGGACAGCTTTAATATTGGAATGATCAAAGTCCACAGCACTGAGTAAATGACAAAGCTGTAGAGGAAAGAAGATACGGATCAGGCAATGCAGGGATCATGAAGAACTTACACCTCTGAACCTATGCATAGCAACCATTTTAATTTACCTAATAGCGGATACTTTTCATTTTATGACTCATATAGATTTACCTAGTTTCTAAGATGACAATGAATTCAATATTAATTATGAAATGAAATAAAAAATGATTACTTTTGCATTGCTAGGAAGCGCATTTGGATGTGCTAATTTAGAGCTGATAAACTAATAACGAAAATGATGAAAACTACTAAAAAAAAAAGAAAATCTAGTTAGAAGAAATTGGCTCGTGTACATTCATATCTGGTACATATCCTTGATTTACTGATAAAATTTAATAATAATGAAAGAACATTTTGGAAAATAGAGATTCCATCTGTCCCAAAACACAAAGCACACACCATATTTTCCTTCCTCTAATTTGTTTATTTGAGTTTTTGCCCCAACAGCTGTAAACTGAATTTAATTAAACCTTGCTAGGTTTTACATTTAATTATACAGAAAAAAAGCCAGACCAGACAAAAATCAGAATGTTTCTCTTTTATTTAATACATTATTAACTATCACCCTGAAGGTTTTCCAAAAACCAAACAAAACTGCACAATGTAATATTAAACATTATAATATGTAAATGTAATATGTGATAAATATTATAATGTGTATTACAAACCTTGTACATTTGGGATTTGTATAATGTTATCACCCCAATCATAGAGCCCGCTACTCCACTTGCAATCAGTGATTGAATCAGCTTGAGTGTAAAAGCAGCTTCTGCCACATTATGAAAGCTGTTATCTCTTTCAATCTGGAAGAAAAAACAGATCCTAAATTATATTTCCCAGAAAGGCTAGAGGAAGACCAAGTAAAATCATACAAACAACAACAATAAAATTAAACCAGAAAATTAAATGTGTTCAGTGCCATCAATATTAATGTCATTTACCTGTTCAAGTCCTTTGACATTATAGAAACACAGGGTTGGTAGCCATTCCAATAAAGGGCTCCTCTCTGTTTCTGAAATGCCATTCATGAGGTTTCCTTCATAGAACAGATCGTTAGCAACCGTACTGATTGCAGGATGACAACGGTATTGGGTTCTCAGCAGAACTGGCTTGTGACCCTAAGAAAGTTAAATACAGAAAAATAAGAAAGGAAAATATGACATTTTTTTCCTTTATGGAAAGGAAAATGGTAATATTCTAAAATTTAAAAATATTGCCAGACTGTGCTCCTAGGAGATAAATTATAACCATAATAGAATAGATTATATATAAAAATCATTTAAAAAAGAAATTACTAAAAATATTTTCATAGTAAACTATTATTACACTAGAAAATTATAAAACATGCCAAATTTGAGACGTATCATCTAATAAGTTTGGCAATTAACATTATGTTTTCATAATCTATTTGGAGTTGGCCTAAGACCAAATTGAAAAGAAATCTTTAAAATAACTAGAAAGTGCTGTTGATAATTCATCAATTAACTTTCCTTCTTGGGTATAAGCCATTTTTCATTCAGGGTCTTCAAAGAAATTTCAGATTTTGTTAATGCATCATAAAATCCAAGTTCCAGTTACTTTATGGCTCTTTTTGATCATGTTCTTTATTTCCAAAAAGTTCTGTAGTATTACTAGAACATTTTGGATAAAGACAAGGTTCTCTAATAATACCTACATACATAATAAAATGCAGGATTAATGATCACATGGACAAAATACCTTCTATGGGACAAAAGGATAACAAGAAAAATCAATTCTCAGCTATCAGTTACTCTTTAGGGCATACATTTGTGGATAAGTCTCAGTCAGTGAGCATTTAAACCTCTGAGAAAAAGCTTTAGTAAAAAATGCTCAAAGGATCGTTATTTATACTTAGAAACAACTAACGTCCAATGTTAGAAAAATTAAATTGATGATGAAGTTCAAGACACCCAGATGAATAAAGAAGCTCAATACTGAATCTACTCAAATATAGAACTAATTAATTACAGGCAGTCCCTGAGTTATGAATGTCTGACTTATGGACAAATCGTACTTAAGAACGGACTCTACCATAAAGCCTACTATATTAAAAATATGAGTTAAATACATACGATGGTTCATAATGACAAAGCACGCACTACTTTGTGACGTTCATGAAAAACCCTGTGCGGTTTGGAAGTATTTAAGTGTTTTATATGCATGGAAAAGTAAAATAGATTCTATATACTAAGATAAACATTTGACTAACTGACGCTAAATAATAACCATACGTACCAGTTCCGACTACCTACAAATCTGACTTAAAAAAAGACTTAAGAACGGATCTCAAATTCGTAAGCTGGGGGGCTGCTTGTAATTCTAAATAATTGTACAAACTATGGTTTTAAAACAGAAGGTATATGTTATAAACTCAGAGAGTACAAAAATAATAATGATGTAACCAACAAAATAGGAACTTGGGAGGGGATAAGAAAGATGAGAAAGAAGCGCGAGAGTGCAAATGTCTCTGCATTTCTGAGCAGGGAAATCATTCCGTTCTATCTACAGTCTTCTGTTAAGGGGATATTTTAGGAATCACTATCTCTTATGGATGAAGAAACATTTACTTGAGATTTAACAATTCTTTTAGTTTCACTTTAGTTTCTCTTCCTCTGTTAAAAAACTATAGATTATTGAAAGATCAAACAGCAAAATAACTCCTTAAATGCAATTTAAACTAAAAACCATGATAAAGTTTCTCTTTTTGCAAAAGTTTTTTTTATAGTTCTTTTGGCTGGAACATTTTAATCTTCTTTTTTACAAAAATAGCTTGACTTAGATTATTGCATCGAAACAATAGAAATAATGAATGTATAACAAATTGTGGTATATACACACAAGGGAATGTTATTCAGCCACAAAAAAAGCAATGAAGTACTAGTACATGTGAATGAACCTCAAAATAATTATGCTAACTGCTTAACGGGTACAGGATTTTATGCTGGGGTGATGAAAATGTTTTGGACCTAGACAAAGTTGGTGGTTGCACAAAACTCTGAATGTGCTAAATGCCACTGAATTGTTCACTTTAAAATGGTTAATTTAATGTTAATGGATTTTACTTCAACTGGAAAAATAGTAATAATTAAGTTTTAAAATTTTTAAAAATCTGAAATAGAGCTCCACAGCTGTGCTGGTTTTGGGGATGGATGATTGACATTGAACTCACTGATTCATTTATCTATCATCTTAGAAAACATGTCGTTTTTTCAGTGTAAGAGCAAAAGCAATATACTCATCACCCATTAGTGAAGTACACAGGGAAAATATTCTTGATCAAGGGGTGCTCAATTTATGTGTTCTACTTATCTTTAAGATGAGTACTTTCTAAACAACTCTGACTTTTATTATTTTCATCTCTATCAAGCTATACAGTGTGTAATCAATAAATGATAATTCTGTATGAATTTAGCAGCATGTACCATCAAGCAAAGTCGATCAAAAAGAGTCTGTTCCAATCCATTTTCATGAGCAGCATCAGAACCCTGAATAGTAGGAGGCAGCTGTTTGGGGTCCCCAACAAGAATCAGCTTTTCACATTCAAACCTATAAACAGAATTTTGAAAATCAATCTAGGTAACGAAAAAAGGGGCATTTACAGCAATGTTTTCCAAAATATTAATAGATTCCAAATAATTTTAATTCCATAAAGTATTCTGTGAACTAAAAAGGCTTAATAGTACTAGTAAGTGTATTAAAGACTTTGAGAAGTTATGCAGTAAAGAAACCTATACATAACTTCATTTTTCCCATAAAATCTATTAAGTACTCACTGCTCCTGCATACAATGAATATTTCACAGAACACACTTTGGAAAACACTGATTATTAGAATTCAAAGACTCTTAGAATTAAAAAATTTCTTACAAGCCATTTAGCTTAAACTCTTGTCTTAGAGATGAAGTAAATTAGGCTTGGAGGGGCTAAACATCTTTCTAAACAGCAGCCAGATATAGTGGGAAAAGTCCAAGTTTTATACACAAACCTACATGCAAATCTCGGCTCTACTATATTCTGTGGACACAGAAAGTTATTTAATATTTCCAAGGTTCAGTATCCTTATCAGTAACCTGGAGGTAATAATACCTTGCATGGCTGTTGTAAGGATTTAACGAGGTATATAATGTGTTTAGCATACATTAGGTGCTAAACAAGTATTCCCCTAGCCTCCACTCTGGGCCTGGCACTTCTCAACCTCTACCTCCTAAGTAGGGTGACCAACTCGTCCCATTTTTCCCAGGGCCATCTCAGTTTTAAAACTGAAAGTCTTGTGAGTGGGAACCCTCCAAGTCCCAGGTAAACCATGACAGTTCACCCCCTACTCGCTTGTTAACTGGGGACAGAAAAAGGATTAGAACTCAGGCCTGCTGGTCTATTACTCTTTCCACTACCTTTGCGTCAATAAGAGATGATTTAACACGATACTCCAATTTGCTGGGACAGTTTAGAAGATCTCAAAGTCTTCTAAATTTTATGTGACAAACTTTCATTTTCAACTGTTTTTCATTTATATACTTTCATAATCTAAAAATTATTTTCAGAATCAAAACACTAGAATTATATCAAGGTAAGGGGACTGAAGGACATTCTTCAAGAGCGTTAGGTCCTCAAACCACGACTAAATAAGAAGGAACCTTTAATCTAGTTGAAAAATCTGCAAGGCCTTACTTAGAATCCTGGCATTAGGGCTATTTAAGGCTTTAAGGATTATGAGGCCCAAATGTGTAGACTGGGACCTAAAAAATTTTGATACAGTAACTAAAAATTCTCTCTGTAGTCTTCTTTTTAAAAATCAGTTTAGTACCTGAGTTGCTAAAAATTCCTGGAAAAGTTTAGTAAGAAACTAAACTGAGAAAATATTTGAAGTAATTGTGATATCTGAGTGTCTTTGGGAAAAGAACCTTTGATGTTACCTTGCAATAGGAAGGAGAGAAGTTGGTTCAGTTATTTGACTACACTCATCCAGCACAACTACAGGAAATTTAAGATCATTCAAGCATGGGAATGGGCACGCTGCACAGGTAACTCCAACGATGCAAACCTATATTACAACAAAAATGTTATTAACAACTATTAAGAGAAAATAAGAGAACATATTTACCAAAGAAGTTATACGCTAAATAAAGAAACAGAGCTACTCCTAATGTAATTACTGGAAATCATAAATCACAGGTCACTTACCTCTACATTTTCATTATTCCCACATATAAAATGGAAATAATATAGGCTACTTAAACCACAAGCACATTAATAACAACAAATAAAAGGTGTATTTTGATTTTCAGAATGGAAGTATTACAATATCAAAGATTAAAAAAGTATCATGGATGGCATACATATTTTATCCTTCCAGATGATGCTGAATAAATACAACATGCATTAAAGCAATGTAGGCCGGTGTTCTCAACAAAGACCACTGAATATACTAATAATTGTCCTTTGCTTAACCTTCAAGCACACCTGTATTTTAATTTACTTAAGAAGGTAAAGATGTCAATTCCAAACATGAGTAAATTAAAGTGTACTTACAGTCTGTAAGTGCATTTAACTTTCAATAGCCTTAAATATTATAGTAGAAGGCCATCACTCTCAAGGTAAAAAATCTGATAAAAGTTAATATTTAATCTCTGGAATCAGATATAAACAACAGGAAAATCTATGAATTTTCTAATTGGATGTGGTCATTAGCCTAATAGCCTACTGGCTATATATATGTGTGTGAATACACACACACACACACACACACACGCACACACACACTCTCTTCTAACAATCTAAAGATAATTACACTTCTTAGTAGCAAGGGCAGTCCATACAAACTGACCATATCATTTCTCAACAAATGTGATTAACAAAAATATGCTTTATGAATTAAATACTGCCTCCAAATAGCCTGTGAAATAATAAACAGCTTACTTTCTTTCATCATAAATAGCATTCATCACATACAATAGCCCTCTATCAGTTAACTTATCCGTTTTTAGTTAAAAACAAAAACAAAGATCCTGAAGCCATATTTACATTAGAACTTCGTTTGTAAACACTGAGTTTTGAAAAATGACCCAGCAGAGGACACCCTTGTAAAAATATACATTGCTCTTGGTATTGCTCTGAAATATCATTTATTATCGAATTTCTGGTAATGATATCTTATAAAAACAGCCTTAGAATGAGAACCCTAGAGTTATGAATCAGGAAGCAATTTTTTTTTGTTTAGAGAAATAGCTAATACAAGAACCCTAAAGAACTATATTTTTGGGATTCTAATTGCAAGAGATTTTATTAAGTAGTAATTAATGATGAAGTATTTTTTAAAACTGGTTTTATTGTAAAGACATTTCATTTTAGGAATTACTGTTGTCAGGTCTGAATGCCTTCTGATTTTAGAACCTTGGAAATTTGTTACAGAAAATGTAAAAAAAAATTTCCTCCAAAATAGCTTTCATTTGTGGACAGGTGACAGTAATGAGCAATAGATTATGGTAACTGGGCTTTCATTTAAAAATTTTCAAAGAAACCATCAACAGTTATTTTAACATATCATTGGTATGTTAAATGATAAATAAGCATATTGGTAAGTAGTTTACATAAATGACTAATTTGTATCTATTGAACACAGTCAAACTAAGCCCTTTTGGATTTAGTTGGGGAGAGAGGAGTACAGAGTTAACCCTATAACTCAGATAACAGAAAGCTAATCTGAAGCCCTGAGGACTTCTAGAACCAAAATTTGGAGGCCTGTTATACATTGGATCATCATTTCCAATTCCTCATTCCCTCCCTGTTTTTTAAGCATATACACACTAACATCTTTTGCTGTATGACTTTGCAATGCCTCCCACCACAGAAGTAGGTAAAGTATATTTCCCTGCCCCACTGATGTCGGGCTTGACCATGTGACCTGTTACGGCAAATGGAATGTTACGGGACATGATATGAACAGAAGCTTTAAATGTATCTGTGTGATCTGGTCTGCCCTCTTGCACTTCTGCCATCTACAGAAGACCATCATACCACAGGCAGCTCTTCTCAGAATGACAGATCTGACCTTTAGCTTCAAGCCAAGTCACCACAGCTGGCCTGTAGAGTCATAAAGTTTGTTGTTAAACTACTGAGATTTTGTTTGTTAAGCAGCATTATTTCAGCCATAGTGGGTCAATACAGGGTCCCAGGCAGGTTGTTCTTTCCGAATCTTTTGCAGAAAGTGACCAATGTCCATTTAGTCCAAGAAGCCAACAACTCTCTTTTCCTCCAACCCCATATTTTCCCCCACGCTCTCCTTTCCTAGAAGGAAGCTAATTGATTTCTTTCTCTCCTACCAGCTGATGCCTAGGCTGCCCTGATCAGAACTTGATGAAAGGGATGAGCTACTTGTATAGCCTGGGATCCTTTGTGCCCAGTCTTGGCTTCCAATACCTGGAAGAAAGGGTCTCTAAGCTTCCTGGATTCTTGGCTATGGGAAGACCCTAAGGCTCGACTTTCTAGGACGCCATCAAAAAAAAATTTCACTTGGAAATTTTGCCTAGAGCCAGACTCTACCTTCCTCTATTTCTCCTAGAATGCAGCCAAGTTTCATTTAATCTGCCAGAATCTAGCCCCACCTCTCACTTTCCTCTGCAAGCCTATAAAAAGAATATGAAAATAACGAGGAGAAAAAGGCCAAGTTAAGGTGAGGTGGATCTGTTCACAAATTTGAAGAATGTTTTGCAACAAACATAAAATGCACTGGATAGACTATATTCAAGGATACACATGCACACACCTTAGTTGACTTTGAGTTATCATAATAGTTTGTTTTATTTAAAAGTAATATTCTTCCCTCAGTAGGAATAAAGAAACTCTGAACAGTATATATAATTTAAAAAAAAAAACTGAAGCTCCGTCTCCATACCTGCTTCAGCAGAGTTCTGTTGGTTCCCAGTTTATGCTGCTCAATACTTTTTCTCACATAAACTCTTTCCACAGGAGTCAGGTCTTCTTTCATTAGTGCATGTAGTTCTTTTAATTGTTCACTTTCATTTTCTGAGCCAGCATGCAAGCTAAAAAGATAATTATGTAAATGAATATCCTTTATTCCATTTTTGTAACATAACAAAAAAGTGATGATTTTTCTAAATCAACCAAGAGAAAGGCTTTTCTGCTCTTCTTCAGAAACCAAACTTAAGGTAAGTTATATAAAATTATTATAATTCTCTGAACATTCTGTGAATTTTGGAATTTAGCCTTACTTACCTATAAGGTAAAATAGGCTTGGCAATCTTCCTAACACTCCCAACTCTGATAAACTTTTCAAATCCAAGACTGAGAAGCCTTTAAAGAAAACAAGTTAATGTAAATTCTGATTATTTAGAAAATAGACTATAAAAGTTTCATATAATATTTATGTTAGTAAAATTAATTTTGTGTAACAGAATATTTTAGAGCTATATAATTCATCACAAAATGTCTAATCTCAAAGGAAATGCAATGAAGCCGAAGGATTTTTAGAGACTGCATGTTTTTAGAGAATTAAAATAAATTTAGAGAATAAAATAAACTTAAAGAATTAAAGTAAATATATATTACGTTGAGGGCCCATGCTCATAAAATAGCAATGTTAGTATTTATCACAAATAAAATTGCCCCTAAAGGTGTAATAATATGAGAAACAATAAAACCAGTTGCTGTAGAGTGAACGCTAACTAATGGCAACCCCATGTGTCAGAGTGGAACTGTGCTCCACAGGGTTTTCCATGGCTGACTTTTGGGAAGTAGATCACCAGGTATTTCTTCAGAGATGTCTCTAGGTGTACTTGAACTTCTAACTTTTTGGTTAATAGCCAAGTGCGTTAACTGTACCACCCAGGGATTGATAACTGGGCGCCACTGAGTTTACTCCAACTCACGGCAATCCTAATAGCTACCATATATTTCGCATCCAAATTTATTAGGAAGAGTGCTAGGCTCTTTACATACATTAATCTCACTTAATACTCACAATAGCTCTGCAAGATATCTCATCTTAGGAATGAGAACACTGAAGCTCAGAGATGAGGTAATTTTGTTGTGGTCACATTGCTAACAAGTGGAGTAACCATGATTCAAAGTCAGGCAAATCCATCTAACTCCAAAAGCTATGATCATTCCTCTATATTAGGGGCTTTGTGAAGAAGAATTCTCACCTACCCTTCTTCTTACATATCTTACAGCTCTAGCTCTACGCTAGGAATAGGAACTCAGTGAATACCTAGTCCTCTAAAACATCTACCATCACAAAATAAGAATTTAAAGTGTTGGAGAATTAAAGAAACTATAGCCCTCCAAAGGCCCATAGATGGTGCAAATGGTTTGCTACTAACCTAAAGGTTGGCAATTCAAATCCACCTAGTGATGCCATGTAAGAAAGGCCTGGGGATCTGCTTCTGTAAAGTTTAAAGCCAAGAAAACGCCATGGAGTGCCGATCTACTCTGAAGCACATGGGGTCACCATGAGTCAAAACTGACTCAACAACAATGGATTTGGTTTGGTTTGTTATAGCCCTCCAAACAGTTTTCCAAAATAATTTTGAAGCAATTTATTTAGTGTCAATACCTGAATATATTTCAATTTTTGCATTTTACATTCTCATGTTAGAGAAAAGTCAGCTACTTTTCATTCTGAAATACTAGTTTACATTTTTTTAATGCAATTCTGTGTTAAATCTGTAATAACAGCGGGTACAGTATCCCTACTGTACTACAACCATTAGGTAAAAAGTATGCATAGTTACCCATGTTCTTTCATTTCTTCTCAAGAAACTCTTTTTTCTACCCTGTCTATTATAATCTAGAATACAATGCCTAATCGCACAACCTTTATGGAGGGTAATTTTGCAAAGTACGATAAGGGGCTTAAAAATATTCTGATCTTTTACTCCAGGCCTAGGACTGTTTCTTAAGGGAAGACTTAGAAATGTGGATAAAGATTTATGTTTAAGTATTTTATGACAATAAAATATTATTATTTATATTGGCAAAAATTTGGAAAGTACTAATCAAAGATTGCTTAATTAAAGTATGGTATAATCAAATCATTGAACATAATAGAGCTATTAAAAATTATGAGTTCTAAGAAGATTTCAGACCTTAAAGAAATAATCTTTAAGTAAAAAAAAAAAGCAGGACACAATATACATATTGTTGAATCCTAGTTTGGAAAAAAAAATTGTATGTGTGTATGTCTGTATAAAAAAATTGTAGTAAGAAATATAATATTATCTGTAGAGTCTGCATATTTTCTAGCCTAAGCATTAACTTATATGATTATAAATATTAATTTCTTAAAAGCCTAGATTTATAAATAACAGATTGTTTCTCCTAGTCAAACTTTGTCATTTAGGTTGAAATTCAGAAAATTAAACTGGAATATTGGTAAAACATTATGTAATATTTTGCATTTTTAATAAAATCTTACATGATCACAAACATTTGACAACTGTAAAACAGATTACTATTGCCTTCTTTGGATCCTTCCTATTAAAATAAAAAGCATAATTTAATTTTTTTAGCTATTTTACTATTATGTGTTCATACAGGCAAATGGGTAAGAGACTGACCTATAACTGTTCTGGAATTTGATTTTAGCCTTACTTATAAGGTAATAGACCCAAGACTCTGGGGTCAGACACAAAGGACTTTATTACTCATACCACAGAAAGCAGCATGAACATCAAAGTATTTGTATTGGTTTTTCTTGCCCCCCAACCCCAGGTCCCAAGGGGAGATGTAGAGGGCCCAGATGGATGCCAGCCCATGCAGTGGGGTGCATTACAGGAAAGAAACACTGAGCTTGGAGATCCATTACTTTCATAACAACCAAGCCTGCTGTTTGTCCTGGAGGGAGACATTACCTCATTTCTTAAAGTTGTTTGCTGTGAACACAACCCTGAGAAACGTCACAGCTAAAGAGCCCTGGTCCAGTAAAGATTACTACAGCCTAGGAAACCCTAGGAACCCTGGTGGCATAGTGGTTAAGAGCTCGGCTGCTAACCAAAAGGTCAGCAGTTCGAATCCACCAGCAGCTCCTTGGTAACCCTATGGGGCAGTTCTACTCTGTCCTTTATGGTCACTAAGAGTCGAAATTGACTTGATGGCAACAGATTAAAGAGTAGTCAGGGTCTTGCATTCTTAGCATCCCAAATGGGATGCTCAGGGCCCACAGAGAATTGTCTCCACTGATAATCCACCTCTCAGCCCTACGTGTTAGTGGCTAAACTCAAATTTTTACATGAGTACCCCATGCTTGTGACAGAATTGTCAGGTTTGGTATTTTATTTTATCCTACTCACAAACTAACAAGTTAGCCTATTACTGTTTCATGGATGCTGTCAGAAGACATGAGATTCCTGGTTCAGAGACAAAGGCCTTGCATTCTTGGCATACCCAGCAAGAATGTGCATAGACACTCAGGGCCCATGGTGGATTGCTTCTCCCAACAATAACCTAAAAAATATTAACTCCTTAAATACACTTGCTATACCTACCCAAGAAGTACTCTGTCAACAGCTACATTAGTGGAAGAAGAAATCAGAACTTTCCACGGTCTTGCATTTCCAACTGTAGAAGCTTTACTCTTTTCAAATAGCTGTACGAAGAATAAAATCACCACTGCCAGCAAATAACTCTTTCCTGCTCCAAAAACACCTAATTATTTGAAAGGAAGGGGAAAAAAATAAGTCACTGAAGGATTTTAAGTAATGGAATTGACTTTATTGACTGATCTACATTTTAGAAAAACTACTTGGATGATAATGTGGAGAAAGGAAAAGCTAGAGGTAAATCAATTAGAGTACCAATTATCAATTGTGTAAAATAGTCATAACCAAATTACATGCTAACATTTACTAAGTGCTTCCCATATGCCAAGTACCTTTACACGTTTTAACTCATTTAATCATCCAACCCTCTAAGGTAGATGCTATTACTATCCTCTCATTTTATAGAGTACAAAATTAAAATTAAGAGATAAGTAACATGGCCAAGATCATTGTTGTTGTTAGCTGCCACTGAGCTGGACCCTGACTCGTGGTGATCCCATGCACAAAAGAATCAGATTGTTGTGATCCACAGGGTTTTCATTAGCTGATTTTCAAAAGTAGATCACCAGGTCATTCTTCCTAGTCTGTTTTAGTCTGGGTCACCAGTAAAACCCCTTAAGCATCATAGCAACACACATGCCTCCACCAACAGACGGGCAGTAGCTGTGCTTGAATTGCACTGGCCAGGAATCAAACCCATGTCTCCTGCACAGAAGGTTAAGAATTCTACCACTGGATCACCACTGCCTTTGTCCAAAATCATACAGCTAATAAATGATAGAGCAAGGATATAAATCCAGGATTCTAGATCTAGAGGCCACACTTTTACTCACTGGGCCACATGGAGGTACGATGAAGGCCCAGATTGAGGTGGTGCAAGTGAACTGAAGAATAGCGATAAGAAAGATGGGTAGAAGCTAGAAGGGACACTTCTCAGTGACTGATCTGATGGTGGTAGATAAACAATAAGAAAGGAAGGAAGGGGACTGAGAGCAAATCACCCAGTCCATAGAGAAAGAAAATCTAGGCTGACTCCCAGGTGTCCAGCATGGTCTATAGGGCGGATTTGATGAAATTCCTCAAAATAGGGCAAAAGTAGGATCAGCTTTGAGATGGAGGTCTGTGAGAAGAAGTGGGACTTGTGGAGGTTTGAATTCAAAGTACTAGATATGTTCTGGTGGACACATCAGGGCAATTACATATACTTGATTTGGAGTGACGAAAAAAATCTGGCCCAAGATTTGATGTGGGCACTGTTATGGGGTATGATGTGACTGGACAAAATCCTGGGTGTAGATGAGATTAACTGCTCAGTGAGTTTGTTTAGAATAAGAAGAGGACCCAAGAAGGAACTATGAGGGAAAGAAGACTAACATTTAAGAAATGAACCAAGCAAGAAACCATGAAGTAGACTGACAATGAGAAACAACAAACTAGAAGGGAATCATGTTCTTCCAGGTAGATTAAGGAAGAATAATTTCAAAGAGAGAGGAGTCAACAGAAAAAGATCAAGTGAGGTAACATAGTTTAAAAATTTGATACTTCTGGAGGTGAAGCCAAGATCGCAGAGTAGTCAGATGCTTCCATGGTCCCTCTTACAACAAAGACCCGAAAAAAAAAGTTAATTGATTATATATGACAATCTAGGAGCCCTGAATATCAAAGGCAAAGTTGAGGATTCAGACTGAGTGGCAGGGGGACAGACAGACGGTTCAGAAGCAGCGAGGAGCTGCCAGAACTGACCTGGCAGGAGTCGGTGCCCCGTGGGCTGGATCGGATGGTATGTGTAGTGACGTTAGCAGTGGCGTTTGGGACCCATTTTCCACATTGGGAGAGACAGAGCAGCGGAGAGTCTGCTCAGGCGTCCAGAGCCAGTGAAAAGTGGCGTCCAATCAGCAAAAGATAAGTATATACATTTACCCTACCGTGTGGATCAAAAAACACCCCATTTGGGAAGACCCTCTCTCCCATTTACCTCTTCCCTCACTGCTCTGCACTGGGTTCCAGGCTGGTTTCAGTGACTGCTGCTTCCCCTGGGCCGGAAGTAGGAACTTTCATGCACCCTGAGCCATTCTCCCAGCCTTGGAGAGGGAATAAATAAACAAATAGGAAAAAATAATCTGCCAGCTCCCCTAAGCTGGGAACTCAGGGCAGGCACAGCTCCTTTGCCGACGCACAGCCATGAGGGGTCCGTGAACTTTGAATGCCTTTCACCCCTGCATAGACCTGTGTGGGCGCATTTCAACAGCGTAGGCCCTCATTACCACAGTACAACAGGGTATATACTTGAAGCCTAACTTTACTGTATCAGCTGTATGGTGGAGAGGCAGGTTCGTGATATTTGATACCACTCTGCCCATTAAGTAGAATCCTCACATACCCATATCAGGGGCCTGAGGACTGGTGGCTCCATCCATGCTACCTAGCCACCTGCAACAGGGTTCCAAGAATAAGTGGTGCCTCCTAGTCCTTACAGCCAGCAGTACTGGGTGCCCACAGGCCGGCTGCAAAACCCACCCAACTACGTACTGTAGGGAACAGGGACACGCTTTCCACCCAGACACTCGGGGGCAGCTGTCAGCCCCCTGCCTTGCTCAGCATATGACTCCCTACTAAGCCAGACACCTGTGCCTACTCCAATCACCCCTGCCCATCTAGGACTGTAGGTGAGAGCCTGCACCACACACTTGGTGACCGATTATTTGGACACCTGAGCTGAATCCATAAAAGAGAAGTAAATGGACTCCTGGGCTCACATACCTAGTAACAGATCTAATCACCCTGTGACAAGACGTTAGAGCTTCAAAGGTGCCAATAATCAAACTAGCTCACACGAGCAGCCTATTTGGGCATATAAAAACAAAACAAGAAGCAAGGACACAGTAACCAAACAAAATAAATAAATATAATAACTTACTGATGGCTCAGAGACAACAGTCAATATCAAATCACATAAAGAGGCAGACCATGATGGCTTCAGCGAGCTCCCAAAGCAAAGAATCAAGAAATTTTCCATAGGAAGAGAACTTCTTGGAATTACTGGAGGTAGAATACAAAAGATTAATATACAGAACTCTTCAAGAGATTGGGAAGGAGATCTTGCAAAATGCAGAACAAGCAAAGGTACACACAGACAAAACAATAGAGGAACTTAAGAAGATTAGAGAAGAGCATAATGACAAATTTAACAGGCTGCAAGAATCCATAGAGAGGAGGCGGAGCCAAGATGGAAACAACCAAGGTGCCTATCAACGGACAAATGGACAAACAAGTTTATGGTATATTCACAAAATGAAGCACTACGCAACGATAAAGAACAATGATGAATCTGTGAAACATAACTTGGAAGAATCTGGAAGGCATTATGCTGAGTGAATGCAGTCAGGTGCAAAAGGACAAATACTGTATAAGACCACTATTACAAGAACTCAAGAAAATGTTTAACCACAGAAGAAAACATTTTTTGATGGTTACGAGGGTGGGGCAGAGGGGAGAGGGTATTCACTAACTAGAGAGCAGACAAGAATTATCTTAGGTGAAGGGAAGGACAATACACACTACAGGGGAAGTCAGCAAAACTGAACTAAACCAAAGCTAAGAAGTTTCCTGAATACAACCAAATACTTCCAGAGACGGAGTAGCAGGGGTGAGGGTCTGGGGACTGTGGTTTCAGGGGACATCTAGCTCAGTTGGCGTAACAAAGTTTATTAAGAAAATGTTCTGCATCCCACTTTGATGAGTGCCATCTAGGGTCTTAAAAGCTAGTGAGCAGCCATCTAAGATGCATCAATTGGTCACAATCCACCTGGAGCAAAGGAGAATGAAGAACATCAAAGTCACAAGGAAAATATTAGCCCAAGAGACAGAAGAGGCCACATAAACCACAGACGTCATCACCCTGACACCAGAAGAACTAGATGGTGCCCGGCTACCACCAATGACCACCCTGACATGGAACACAACAGAGAGCCCCTGATGGAGCAGGAGAAAAGTAGGGTGCAGAACTCGAATTCTAGTAAAAAGACCAGACTTAATGGTTTGACTGAGACTGGAGGGACCCTGGAAGACACGGCCCCCGGACTCTCTGTTAGCCCAAAACTAAAACCATTCCCGAGGCCAACTCTTCAGACAAAGATTAGACTGGACTATGAGCCACAAAATGATACTCATGAAGAATGTGCTACTTAGCTCAAGTAGATAAATGAGACTAAATGTGCAGCAAGATGAGAAGGCAGAGGGGGTCTGGAGCTGGTTGAATGTACATGGGAAATCCGGGGTGGAAAGGAGGAGCGTGCTGTCACAGTATAGGGAGAGTAACTGGGGTCGCATAACAATGTATGTATAAATTTTTGTATGAGTGACTAACTTGAATTGTAAACTTTCACTTAAAGCACAATAAAAAAAAATATTTTTTTCTGGAGGAAGAGAATTTCTTGGAATTACCAGAGGTAGAATACAAAAGATTAACATACATAACTCTTCAAGAGATCAGGAAGGAGATCAGGCAAAATGCAGAAAAAGCCTAGAAACACACAGACAAAGCAATAGAGGAACTTATGATTAGAGAAGAGCACAATGACAAATTTAACAGGCTGCAAGAAACCACAGAGAGACAGCAATCAGAAATCCAGAAGATCAACAATAAAATTTCAGAATTATACAACTCAATAGAAAGTCATAGGAGCAGAACTGAGGCAATGAAGTCAGAATTAGTAAGACTGATGATAAACCACTTGACACCAACTTATCTGGGGGAAAAATCAGATGAAAGAATTTAAAAAAATGAAGAAACCCTAAGAATTATGTGGGATTCTATCAAGAGAAATAACCTACGAGTGACTGGAGTACCAGAACAGAGGGGGACAACAGAAAACATAGAGAGAATTGTTGAAGATGTGTTGGCAGAAAACCTTCCTGATATTGTGAAAGATGAGAAGGTATCTATCCAAGATGCTCACTGAACCCCATATAATGTAGATCCCAAAAGGAAGTCACCAAGACATATTATAATCAAACTTGCCAAAACCAAAGATAACGAGAGAATTTTAAGAGCAGCTAGGGATAAACGAAAAGTCATCTACAAAGGAGAGTCAATAAGACTAAGCTCGGATTACTCAGCAGAAACCATGCAGGCAAGAAGGCAATGGCATGACATATACAAAGTCTTGAAGGAAAAAAATTGCCAGCCGAGAATGATCTATGCAGCAAAAGTGTCTCTCAAAGTAAGCATTTCCAGATAAACAGAAGTTTAAAGAATTTGTAAAAACCAAACCAAAATTATAAGGAATACTAAAGGGAGTCCTCCGGTAGAAAATCAATAACATCAGATAACAACCCAAGGCTAGAAGTACAGAGCAACCAGATATAAACCCAAATGGGAAGTCACAAAAATAAATCAAAGCTAAACCACTGAAAATAGGGAAACAGAGACACCAATATGTAAAAGACGACAACATTAAAACAAACAAGAGGGACTAAAAAATGTAGTCATAGATCTTTCATAGGGAGAAGAAGTCAAGGCAATATAAAGAAATAAAAGATTGGTTTAAACTTAGAAAAATAGGAGTAAATATTAAGGTAACCACAAGGGAAACTAATAATCCTACACATCAAAATAAAAAACAAGAAAAACATGAAGACTCAGCAAATACAAAATCTACAATAATGAAAAAAATGAAAAGAAAATACATAAAGAAAACCGACTCGGCACAGAAAATTAAGTGGAACAAAGAAACTGTCAACATCACACACACACACAAAATTCATCAAAATGACAGCACTAAACTCATACCTATCAATAATTATGCTGAATGTAAATGGACTAAATGCACCAATAAAGAGACAGAGAGTGGCAGAATGGATTAAAAAAACACAATCCGTCTATATGCTACCTACAAGAGACACAACTTAGACTCAAAGACACACATAAACTAAAACTCAAAGGATGGAAAAAAATATATCAAGCAAACAACACTCAAAAAAGAGTAGGAGTGGCAATATTAATCTCTGACAAAATATACTTTAAAATCCACCACAAGGGATAAGGAAGGACACTATATAATGATTAAAGGATCAATAACCAGGAGGACATAACCATAATAAATATTTATGCACCCAGTGATAGAGCTCCAAAATACATGAAACAAACTCTAATAGCATTGAAAAGAGAGACAGACAGCTCCACAATAACAGCAGGAGACTTCAACACACCACTTTCAGTAAAGGACAGAACATCCAGAAAGAAGCTCAATAAAAGACACAGAAGATCTAAATGCCACAATCAACCAGCTTGATCTCATTGACATATACAGAACACTCCACCCAATAGCAGCCAAGTATACTTTCTTTTCCAATGCACATGGAACATTCTCCAGAATAGACCACATATTAGGCCACAAAGCAAGCCTTAACAGAATCCAAAACATCAAAATATTATAAAGTATCTTTTCTGACCATAAAGCCATAAAAGTAGAAGTCAATAACAGAAAAAGCAAGGAAAAAAAAAATCAAACACATGGAAACTGAATAACACCTTGCTCAAAAACTACTGGGTTATAGAAGAAACCAAGAAAGGAACAAAGAAATTCACAGAATCAAATAAGAATGAAAACACATCTTACCAGAACCTTTGGGACACAGCAAAAGCAGTACTCAGAGGTCAATTTATAGCAATAAATGCACATATCCAAAAAGAAGAAAGGGCCAAAATCAAAACATTAACCCTACAACTCAAACAAATAGAAAGAGAGCAGCAAAAGAAGCCCATGGGCACCAGAAGAAAGGAAATAATAAAAATTAGAGCAGAAATAAATCAAATAGAGAATAGAAAAACAATCAAAAGAGTTAAAAAGACCAAAAGCTGGTTCTTTGGAAAGATCAACAAAATCGATAAACCACTGGCCAAACAGACAAAAGAAAAACAGGAGAGGAAGCAAATAACCCAAATAAGAAATGAGATGGGTGATATCAAAACAGAATCAACTGAAATTAAAAGTATCATAACAGATGTCAGATGGATGGTAGTAAAAGTGAATACTAGAAAGATGTTTACCTGTGTTTTATTGACTATGCAAACACATTCAGCTGTGTAGATCACAACTAATTGTGGATAACATTGTGAAGAATGGGAATTCCAGAAGACTTAATTGTGCTCATGCGAAACCTGTACATAGACCAAGAGGCAGTTGTTTGAACAGAACAAGGGGATACTAGGCATTTTCAAATTAGGAATGGTGTGCATCAGGGTTGTATCCTTTCTGTATGCTGGGCAAATAATCTGAGAAACTGGGCTATATGAGAAGAATGTGGCATCGGGATTGGTGGAAAACTCATTAACAATTTTCAATATGCAGATGACACAACCTTGCTTACTGAAAGTAAAGAGGACTTGAAGCACTTATTGATGAAGATCAAAGACTGCAGCCTTCAGTGTGGATTACACCTCAACATAAAGAAAACAAAAATCCTCGCAATTGGACCAAATAAGCAACATCATGATAAACTGAGAAACGACTGAAGTTATCAAGGATTTCATTTTACTTGGATCCACAATCAATACCCATGGAAGCAGCAGTCAATAAATCAAACGATGTATTGCATTGGGCAAATCTGCTGAAAAAGACCTCTTTCAAGTGTTGGAAAACAAAGATGTCACTTTGAAGATTAAGGTGTGCCTGACCCATGCCATATTTTCAATCGCCTCATCTGCATGCAAAAGAATTGATGCCTTTGAATTACGGTGTTGGCGAAGAATACTGAATACACTGTGGACTGCCAGAAGAATGAACAAGTTTGTCTTGGAAGAAATACAACCAGAGCGCTCCTTGGAAGAGAGGATGGCAGACTTCACATCATGTACTTTGGACATGTTATCAGGAGGGACCAGTCCCTGGAGAAGAACATCATGCTTGGTAAAGTAGAGGGTCAGTGAAAAAGAGGCAGACCTTCAACAAGTAGGATTGACACAGTGGCTACAACAATGGGCTCAGACATAGCAACGCTTGTTAGGACTGTGTAGGACTGTTCTGTTGTACATAGGGACACTATGAGTCAGAACCACCTGGACGGTACCTAACAATGACAACAACAACACATTATAAAGATGATGGTACTAGTTAGTTAATGCCAATTTTATAAAACAAGTGTTTTTTTGTTTTTTTTTTAAAAAAAGAATAGGTCCAAACTTAGGAAAGTTGGAAAAAGAGGGCAGGACATTGAAGGGAGTTTCTGTTATGAACTCTATTTCCTGTTTTAGAAGCAAGATCAATTTCAGAGACAGAGTGGGGCAGGGGCAAGGATGAGTTCATGAGAATGAAAAGTTTGGAATAGCTTCTGTGAAGGATAGAAGAGTGAGCTACTAGGAATTAATAAGAGATTTTGCTGATCAGAATTGAAGTCTACTCCAATAGAGCAAAACACAGACATCTCGATCAAATCTGGGTATCTCATGTATAACGTTACACATTCATCAGACATGCTGCCAATTCTTTCCGTTAAGGTGGTCAGATCTGATCACAACTCAGCTAACAGTTTACTGAAGTGGGTTCAGGTTCAAAAAAATCTACTTAGAGTTATTCTGGAAACTTAACTAGGAAATTGCAAAGCAGCAGAGCTTACATCAAAATTTATTACAGCTATTTTCTTTCTTGCTTCTTACCATGTATGATTGTGATAGGGAGGGTAGGGGTTCGTAGTTCCTCCGCTTCAGCACTTTCGTGTGATGTCATCATCTGAGCTATTTGAATTAGAGCTGTAGCTTGGTCCTTGTTTAACTTGTGCACCTGAATTAACTCACTAGCTAACTGCAGTGATGTTCCTGGGCTTAGTTCAAATTTTGTGTTGGCATTTGTGAAGGCTGGTGGGATAAATTTTCTTTTATTGACTCTCTTGTTGTTAACTGTAGTTGGTGAAGACCTAGGAAAAAAGTGGTAAAAAAAAGTCAAAGAAAAATGAGGGGCTTCTGAAATGTTAGTAAATTCATTCATTATTTAGCCTTCACTTTATAAGCCTCACAGAGAACATTTTTTAAAGAGCAGAAACGGATACTTACTCCAATTTGGAGGAGGATGGGAGAAGAGAGAACTAACATTTGTTGAGTATCTACTATGTGTTAGCACTATGCTAAGCATTTTATATGCTATTTGATGTAATCTTCACAATAACACTATGAAGTAGTCAATTATCCCAAATACAGGCACGGAAATGTTCTTTTTTTCCCCCAAAAAAGCACACAGCTGATAAGGGGTGGACTGACATCAAAGCCCATGCTCTATTATGCAAAGCTGACATAGATAATTAATATAGCTTCTATTTCAGGTAAATCTACATTAAATAAATTGGTTTTATTTGTATTTCTATAAAGACTGAATTAATTTCAAAGTGAATAAATAACATAATGGAATCGTAAGGATATTTACCTTTTTACATAGGTTTTCATTATGTGAGAAAAATGAAACAAGATAGGTAATAACATTCTAAATTAGAAAATATACTTTTTCTATCATTTTAATGCATTTAATATAATATCACTTATAATTTTTTAAACAAGAACATGGTGCTTAAGAAATTTAAAATGAAACATAGGTTTCATCATTAAGATTAATACTAATATACACACTGGATTCAAGCTGTAAACTGCTTCCTTAAAATGTTAAATATTTGTGGTATAAAAATACACATGCATAAAAAATAAAATCAGTAGTCAAAAGATCCTTAAGAAATTATCCCTTGACAAAGTATAAAACTTTGCAGTAACATTTATTAACCTAGACCACAATGACTAGATAAATAAATAGATAGGGACAAGGAAAGAAAGATGGGAAATATTTTTTTTTTTTTAATATTTTATTGTACTTCAGGTGAAGGCTTACAGAACAGATAGTTTCTCATGTAACAGTAACACACATGCTGTTTTATGACATTGAT